AAGTTAGTTTTGCTTATCCCAATTACATGGTGAGTAAACAGGCTCAGGACACTGAGTAAACTGATGGAAGATTTAAGTAAGAATAAATGGCAGAAGTGATGCTAGAGCATAGGTCTTAATTTCCAAGCCAGCTACTGTCAGACTGAGGAGTAAGGGAAAAGAGAAGATAGGAAGTTGTTGAGTACAGATCACCAGAAGAGTGGACTGTTTTCTAAAGTATTATCTGAATCTAGGCCCACTGAGGCCAGTCCTGTGCCCAACGAAAGGTTTCCAACATAGCCGTCTTCCACTTCATAGGATGCCCTTATCGAGCTCCCAAAGAATAAGAACAAACTGCAGTTGTTTCATGAGCATCTAGCACCGTGCCTGGCACATAGTAGCTGCTCCACTAGTACCTGTGAATGAATGAATTTGTTAGAGCATGCCTCATTCTGGAAGAAATTGAGAGTTGCCATGAAACAAAATATGTTCAGTGGTTATTACTATTTATATTTCCCTATTGGAGATTCACAGTGCACATTAATACTTTTCAAAAGTCCTATGGAAGAGAATCCTCTCGACTTTGTTGAACCCAGGGGTGACGAGGAGCAACCAGCTGTCTATGCTTTGAGTCTGAGGGCTGTCCAGTGAGTTGAACCACAAGGACAGACACGACTTCTTCCCTGAACGTCCAGCTGTTGGCCTTCTGCGCCTTCAGCCCTTGTCATCCCTGCATTAATCCCTGCCTGCAGGGCGACGAGGCACTTCACTGGTCTTCTAGAGGCATGCTGGGGAGTAGGAGGTTGCTGCGCTGGGATGTGGGGAGGGCAGTGACGGTGCAGAATCCGACCCATTAACAGAGATGGGTGGATACGCCCTGCCAGCCCCTTGCTGCTCCAACCATCCCACCAGGGGCCCAGGCACATGGGTAAAGAAGCCAACCTGTGTTATCTAGCCCCAGCTGGTACCCTACTGCAGCGGCATGAGAGACCCAGGTGAGAGCCACCTAGCTGGAGCCAGGCAACGAAGATACATATGAAAATATTTTTAGCATATTATGTTAAACATTCTTTCCCTCCTATGGGAGGGAGGGAGATGGGGAGGAAATAACTGTTTTATGATCATTAGAAAAAGACTGTCAACTTTCTAATAGTAACACTATGGTAGGAAGTCTCCTGACTCACAAATGCTTAATAATTTACATCTGCCTGCTTAATAATATTCCATTAGCTCAACAGATATTCACTGAGTACCTCAGTGAATGAAGGGTTACTAAAACATTCCTGTGGATGAAGCGCTACTAAAACATTTCATGAAAAAAAAAAAAAAAAAAAAAACATTTCATGTCCTCGCTTTCACCGGGAACTTGTTGCAAGATGGATCATTATAAATCCAGCTTACCCCTGTGCCCCAGTGCCACTCACGCCTTGTCAGAAAAGAGAGGAAACCAAAAATAATAAACATTTGAACAACAAACAAAAAGGCATATAGCAACTCCAACAGGACCAGGTCTTAGATATTCCATCCAGGCCCGAGTTCTTTGTTTTTTTTTTTTTTTTAAATAACTAATTAGGCGAGGGAAGGTTTGAAACCAGAAATTGCCAAAGCCCCCAGAAGCCACTCCAACATGAAACCAGATCTGGAGTTCACCAGGGGAAGGACACGCCCAGGGTTGAGTTGATTCCAACAGGTTCTGTGGTCAGTTCCCAGCTGGAATGTCAACACTGTGTTGTGCGTGGCTATGGGACTGACACATGTCAGCTTTATTACTCTGGAAAAATTAGGAAGCCAGTTGCATGTGTGGAAACACATGGCATTTCCAGGGTTGGCCAAAGAGCCTACAATAAACTACCTTACCATCTCTTTCTCTTTGTTGCTGTGATTTAAAATGTCCACAAGTGTCATGGGACAGCTTATCACAAATGTTAGTACAAGCTCTAATCAGACGTAAGATTTCCCCCATCTGTTCATTCACAGACAGCAATGGAAACTTCACTTTCTAAGACTTGAGGAGCTTAAAAAGCTTCACTGAAACTCCAAATTGCAGAGACCCTGAAATGAGTTTGGTCTTTCAAAAATATTAATAACAAAAATAAACAATGTCAGGCAACTTGAAAATGAAATACTTATTAAATCCTCTGGTCTCTGAAAGGGGGAAAGGGAATTAAGCTCCAATAGGACAAGGAAGGTCACTACAGTGAGAACTTTTCCTCATGCTGAGAACTTGATAACTACTGTCTTATTCAGTACTCAGGTTTTAAATAAAACTGACATTCAGGACTTTCCTGGTTGGGATAGTGGTTAAGAATCCACCTGCCAACGCAGGGGACACGGGTTCGAGCCCTGGTCCAGGAAGATCCCACATGCCGCGGAGCAACTAAGCCCGTGCGCCACACTGAGCCCTGCGTGCCACAACTACTGAAGCCTGCACACCTAGAGCCTGTGCTCCGCAACAAGAGAAGCCACCGCAATGAGAAGCCCGCACACCGCAATGAAGAGTATCCGCTCACTGCAACTAGAGAAAGCCTGTGCACAGCAACGAAGACCCAGCGCAGCCAAGAATAAATAAATAGATAGATTAATTAATTAGAAAAAGAAAGAAAATGAGAGGTACTGAAGGAGAGCGGAGGGGAAGGGGGGCATTCTAGGCAGAAGAAATAACACGGGAAACAACTCGGAGACCTAGCTGTACTGCGGACCCTGCTCCCTTGCCCTACTCTGTATGAAGTCTGGGGAGTTAGATGCTCATCTTCTCCCAGTTCTGCAAATGCCAATGAAATGGTGAGAAGAGCTGATCCTCAGTCAGTGCCCAAGAGACTCATGGTTGAGAGACTCCCTGCCGACGGGGGCAGGGAATGAGACACATGTGAAGTCAGCACTGGGCATGAACAAGATGGCAGCAGTTGTGGATTCTGCCCGACTCCACAGCACACCAAGCTCATTACGCCCTCCACTCACCAACACCCATTCCAACCATCACGCAGTAAATAAGATGAAATAATTATACCAGAGAACACCTGGTACACCCTGCGGCCAGTAACTTCCCAGCAGAAGGAGTTAGACTAAAACTGTAGGGAATATGACCACACTCATGTCAAGCACTTGGTCAGGAGAAGCAGTTATGCATTTGTTCCTGTCCCATGTGCACCGTTACGTGGCACTCTGGCTCAGAAAAGGAAACTCACACTTCCCTCATGGAAAGCAGGACCACTAATTGCCACCCATGTCGTTCGCCAGTTAGTGGTACTGAAGCAGGCAGCCTCCATAGCCCAAGGTTCACACAATTTTCTTTTGGCCTCAGATGGAGAAACAACACTGCAAAGGCCCCACCAACCTAGACACAGACAAACTGCAGGAGAGGAAACTCAAGAAAAATAGAAGCCAAAGAATAATGACAAGAAAATAAAAATGACCAGGGGAAAAGGATGTAAAAAAGGAATGAAAGAGAGGTGGGAAAGACAGAGGGCCTCATCATAAAGGGTGTAGCTTATACCACCCCCCCACCAGCTTTTTGGGGTTTTTTCGGTCAGCTACAATCTGGGTCGTTACTTTGCTCTCTCTTTTAACATCGCTGATGCGCAAGACATCCTTTAGACAGTGTTTGGACCCTTGAGAGAAGGCAGCAAGACGGCAGAGCACAGAGGACCAGCTCTCATGAAGCATGGAGAGAAGGTGCATCTGGAGGTAGGCAGGGTACAAGGACAGCATCCCTGTCCAGCTTTCTCCACTTTGAAAGAAAGAAAGAAGGGGAAAATCTCTTTCTGCAAGCAGAGCTGTCCTCTGGACAAACTAGCTTGTCGAACGATTCCCCTGGGCTCCTGAGATAACAATTTTGTTGCTTTCTCACCCCTGCACCCACTTCCACGCCGCCTTCTGATCCAGAGGAATGTACATGTGCACCTGGGGTACCCAGACAGCGCGTCAGGACACCCTGATGGGACGTCACATCTCCATCCTGGGGTTTTTCACTGTAGTTTAAACAAAGCACATCTGTGCTTCCCATGATAAAAATTTAACAGTATATAGATCAGGTGAAATCATGGGCAACTTACCTGTGATACATTTGGGTTTCATGCTTTTATATCAGAAGCAGGTATAAAAAGTATTGAAATAGATTTTTTTAGTGTTCAGAGACATACTAAAGAAGGAGCGATACGGGAAGTGCTTATGCTGCCATACATTTTTCAAGCCTTTCTTTAAAAACAGTCAATCTGCTGGGGAAAGTAGCATCTCGTCAAATGCACCAGGTATGTTTTTGATTTTTACATTTCTATCTCACAGTTGGATTTTAAAGAACTGCCAACACCTCATGGGAAAGTTTGCAACTTTGTTTTTCGACATGCCCTCTGGACCCACACTTGAGTGCTGTGGGTGTTCTCACTGTTCTGTCCCTTTGAGTCTTCTTAGTAGAGAATTTGGCGCCCCCAGCTGCCCTGACACCCAGAGGCAGGCCTGAGAGACACAGGCTCTGCGCCGCCTACAGAGAGTTCATCGAAGCTACAGCGGGTGGGTTTGGTGAGAAAAATACCAAAGCCCCTTTTCTCCTGAACTCCTATCAAGCAAGGCCTTCCTCAGCTGGAAGTAAATACCCTGCAGCGTTTTCCAAAAGGGCTCTGTGAACCGTGTGCAGAGCCGACCGCTGCGGAAGGTGTTCGGCAAATAAACAGGTGACGCCTTTGATATTCTGACTGGTCTGACATGAATCTGAAGAATATCAAAGACAGGATTCTCCCACCAAAAAAACTCTCTTTTGACGTACCGCTCCCACACAGGTCAGTGAAGGGGACAACACACCCAACGGCCAGAAACCAGGGACAGCACTGACCTGCGGGCAGCCTGGGCCCAGGCCTGGCTTTCCGGGGGGCCACCTACGCCAAGCGGGGTGGCACCTCTCTTACCTTGTACCTCTTCTTACAGCCGGGAACCGGGCAGGCGAAGGGCTTCTCCTCGCCGCCGTTCATGCACATGGAGCTGAGGATGGCCTCGGAGCTGATGGCGCTCTCTGTGGTCCAGGACTCGTCGCTGTCCGACTCCTCGTAATCCACCTCCTCCTCGTCGTACTCGCTGCCTGTGGGGCCAGAGGAGAAACACAAGGGCTGTCAGGACGCCCCGCACGGCGGCGGCTCCTGCTGCCCTGGGAGAGAGCGTCCAGGCGCCAAGGGGCCGCAAGTGCATCTAGTCCCCGGGACAGTCCTGGGGGCAACATATCTGCTTTCCCACGGGAGAGACCAGGGAAAGGGCTTCCCAGCGATTCATGGCGAGGAATGAGCTGTGCAAGAGCTTGGACTCAGTCTTCTGCGGGAAAGGTGATTGACTGCAAAGGTGCTGGGAAGGCTAAAACCAAAACTAACCAACTACGACAGACACACCCCTGCCCCAACACACACACGCACACGCGCACACACACACACACGATATGCCTGACATTACAATGGACAGAATTCTGTCCCCATAGTTTTATGCTTTATTGGCATGGTAAACACACAAATCTGTAGGAGGGGGTTACATTCTACACTTACTACGTATTTACACTTCGGTGGGAATTAATTTCAGTTCTTTTTCTTTATAAGCTGAGCTGGGAAGACCATGAAGAAATTTAGAACTAAAAGGGTGTTACCCCAAGCTAGGGAGCAGGGGGACAGAAATGCCCAGAGCTCTGAGGGCACAATGTCATCATCATCCTCAGAAGGCAGGTCCAGCTCCAGGAAGACCAAACGATTCCCTACCGCACCTGTCCTCAGGGAATAGCACCTGCCTTTCAGCTACACAAAACCCTCCCTGGGAGGGAGGGCTGAGCCGTTGCAGCAGACAGCTCAGACAGACGAGGGGATTCCCTTGTATCCTGGTTAAGAGCTCTGCTCAGAACTGAATTAAAAATCTGCTGTGCTGACTTCTGCCCAGGACGGCAGGGATGGAGAACCACTTCAACAAGCAGCCCCTCTTTGCTCTTTCTTTAACAAGGTCCACAGCCATTTATTTGGAGCTTTTGCACAATATAACCCTGAAGGACATAATTCTACAGATCATAAACAGTGTAAAATAATATGTTGACAAGTCCTAATGCATTTACAAGCCCCGTGGAATAAATAGGAATTACAGCACAACATCAATAAGAATTATATGGTAGCAATTACAGTTGTGAAATTCATCCCCCAGGTGTGAGGCTAAATTGCACCCGGGGCCTGCCTGGGTGCTCCACGGGGCTCCCCCTGCTACATCAATTATTTCAACACCAGATATTGGCATTTTTATTGGGTTTCATTTTAATAGGCATTAATAAGATTGTTTGAAGAGCCAGTTGAGCCAGGAACAAGGACGCCAGCCTCTGAGGCGAACACTTAAAAGGATCCAGGAAGGAAGCAAGGGACCTCAAGGTGAACGAGTGCCTCGTATGGTTCAGGCACACTGGCTGCATCAGCTCATTTAATCCTCTGGTGACCCTGTGAGGTGGGGTGTCACTTTCCTACACGAGAGGAAATGAGCCCTGTGAGGCTCGAGAGCTGCCGCATCCTCAATTAGCTAGTAAGGGAGTTACCTTTTCCCAGGTTGCCTCCCGGCCTCCAGTGCCGGCAGCTCTCTGGAGGTGTCTCTCTCAACCTCCGTGTCGCTGGGCCTCCACCATCTACCGCTCAGAATTCAAAGCAGCCTGCTTTGAAGCCTGTTTAGAAACTCAGGCGGTACGGAAAAAACAATTTGACAAAAATGAGGCTCCCCGCTGCGCTTGGCTGGAGCCCCCAGAGACAAGAGACCCAGCTGGGAAGCGCTCGTAGGACACAGCACAGGGGTACCTGCTCTGCCACGTCCCTCGGTCCATGAGCAAATCTGGAAACCTGTTTCTAAGTAGGGCACTGTTTAGGACGTTTTACTCTTAAACAAATGCCACATGCTGGTGTCCTTTAAATTGCTTGTTAGAAAACTATAAATACTATTTCGCAGAGCTCTTCCACCAGGACTTGAGAAAGTGAGGATGACTAATTTACCCATCTAACTGAGCTAATTTGTTAACCTGAATACCAGGACTCGCACAACGTTTACAACTGGGGGCAGCGCGAAAGCCTCAGACCAACCGAGGGCTTAATGAAGCCCAGCAGAAGATAAAACTGCAAAACTCTTCGGGATCAAAAGGGGCCAGGTCTGGGGGGTTAATGCTGTGGACACACTCGCCTGCAAACCATGCAGCATCCAGTCCCAAGTGGGGCAGGTAGGAGGACCACATGATCTACTGTCCGTGTCAGGATGCCTTTGCGAGTGAAAGCCAGCACGGGGACAACAGGCATACACAACTGGGCCCCCCACACACACATCCTCGTCATCGGCACACCACAAGGTCCTTCGGGTGCTTTGTGAAACTGTCTCGCCTGGATGGGGGTCGAGAAGGATCTGTTTCTATTTAGTTCTGTCCTATAACACAGCCGAGCAAGGCCCAACCCTGGGTTCATGCCTTGGCTGGACATTGTCAGCTGAGTGACCAACCTACTTGGCCTCTACTTTCTCTTCTGTGAAATGGGAGGAAACAACCTCTTCCTTACAGTTGAAGGATTAGAATTAATGTTTATAAAGCACCTGGCACAGGAGGACCTGCACGTAGTAAGTGCTCAAAAAAACAGAAGACAGTATAATACTATTTTTGTAATAATACTATTTATAATATTACATGTAAAATAATACTATTTTTAGAAAGGCCTGTTGCGAAACCAAACAAAAAATAAGATAATTCTGATAGGTTTGGGCATCTCCACCAGAAAAAATACAAGAGGGATTCCATAACAAGAGAGGTGCTGTGCTGGCTGAGGACTGTTCGTGCAGATGCATCTACAGGGGCCAAGCTGGGAGCCCAGGCTGGGAGCCCCTGTGAGCCCTGGTGCTGCCACCGACAAACTGTGTGACCCCAGGCAAGTGATGTTACCTCTCTGAGTTTTAGAGTCCTCATCTGTAAAATGGGCTGATAATACTACTACCTCTTAAGGTTGCTGTGAGGAGCAACTGAGTTCCTGTTTTTAAAAGTATTTAGAACAATGATACATGGTAAGCATTAAAGAAGCATTTGGTAAATAAATAGGCAAAAGGTCACGTGAGCAGTTTACTTCATCCACTGTTCCCTCGCTTTCTCTTGAGGGTACTCACGTTTTAAAAACAGGAGTGGGGGGGGTCTACTGTTGCTTGTGTTCCTGTACCCCAAGTGCTACCCTGTCATCAAACAGGAGAAACGTCGCCAGCTGTGAGGCGGGTCCTGCAGCCACACGGCATCCTGCAGGTACAGGGGTTGCTATTGTCCCAGAAAGCCACACAAGCTCAGACGCTGGCATCCACTCGGTGCGCATATCTGGAAACCTCGCCAGCAGGGCCTGCAGTGCTCTGAAGAAAACAACCGAGGCCCCGAAACCTACTGCTCTTCCTCTCTTTTCACACATCTTTGAACCCTAGGAAATGCTAACCTGAAAGGAGTCATGGCTTTAGTTCAGAAACATGTGGGCCAACCCTCTCTGCTTTGTTTTATTCATGTCCTCATGCCTTTCGAAGGAGAAAAGTCAACCCCAACCTGGTTCATTTTCAATCTCTGCTTCACCTGCCATCTCAAAACTAACTTCTGAACGAAGGGATCTGCAGCGCTTGCCAGCCCTCTGCTAGAGATTTCCGCCCCCTGCCCCCCATTTAGGGAAAGCAGGATGGAGCGAGGCTGACTCTCCTAGCAGGGGTCTCCCAGCTTTTCGATCCTCTCCTACATCCCGGTCAATAAGAAATTGTGGGCACTGCCTCCCTGAGGGGGAGCGTGTGTGAATATACTGTTTATAAATGACATACATGTACTAACATATCACTATATAAAACAGATATGCAAATCAAAGGATGAGGATGAAATAGTTTAATAAATATATATATTAATACGAGAAATATTTTCCTTAGTAAGTGTAAAGATTTGATATCTCCTTCCTCCACCTCATAGAGTGTCTTGCGCACCCACTTTGGAGCCCACTGCCCTCCAGGCCAGCTGGAGGCGTCAAACGGGCCCCATCACAGCCAGCTTTGAGGCTATCAGATATGATGAGCCTTTGGATTGTTCCAGGGGAGAGGTATGGAGCGTTAAGGAATGGAAACGCTCATTCATTCACCCTGATCTTGAGTTAATGGGTGATCTCTGAGGCCCCGTGTGAGCCCCACCCTGTCAGCCTATCAGAGCGGGTGCTGGGCTCCAGCCACCAGACAGAGGGAGGATGCGGAATCAATTCAAGCTTCTAGTTCTGAGCGCCCATCACCCAGAATCCATAAAATGTTAATCGCCATATCAGTTTCTGAAGAAAAAAATTATAAGAAGTACTTCCTCTGTGTAAAAGAGGAAAAAGACCCCCAAACACCCTACCTGTAGTTGTAAGTAACTGGGGCAGGGAGGTAGGAGGAAAGCATGAGAGTCACAAGAAGAAATTTACCCCCCTGGGGCCCAGAACAGGTGTCTGGGGACAGGCTGGCAGGTGTCCTCCTAGCAAGTAGGGTTGGGGAACATTGAGTCGGTGAGTCAGAATTTTGCAACTAGAAGGAGAGGTGCTCCGCAGTCTATCCGGGCGGGCTCCCTTTCTCCAGGGCTACTGACTGGGGATTCTAGCAGGGAAAGACTGCGCTGTGGTGAATACCGGTTCATCTTCATCTCTCCCTTCTTCTCTCCACCTCCCACCCTTTCCTTCCTACAAGTCTACCCTAAGCCCTGGCAACTGAAAGGGACAAGCGCTCAAACACAAAACAGAAAACTTGCTGTAGGCCAACACCTCCTCCCCACACTGACCGTCTTGAAGAGTCCAGAGGAGAGCATTCTCACAACTAAAGAGAAAGCCTGAAGACCTTAATTAAGAAAAGCAGATGAAAACCCCATGGACGTGGCTTCTTTAGAGCGACGGTGGCTGGTTCTGTGGCTTCTAGAAGTGCCACCCTTTCCTCTGGGTTGTGGCACCTGGGGAGGCTGTCAGCACAGGGACACAAACTATAAAGACATTGCCCTTGTATTTGAAAACAAAGATTGACTGACTGGGTCAGATTTCTAATTTGGATGAACTTGTTCTCTTAGAAGAGAGAACACCTTCAAAGATCTGCATCTCAAGAACACAGAGGACAGAGGGCTGGGATGCTGGATGAACTGTCAGGGCGGATTTACAATGGGGATTCAGCCAAGCAATTATTTTGTTAGGATGGTTACTGTTTTTGCTGATGCTCTGGTTACAAAGTCCCATAGCTTTGAGGCTCTGTCCAACCTCAGTTCTCCCGTAAGTCCTGTTATTTTTACTGCACTAATGGGCACAATATGAAGATTTGAGGAATGCACAAAGGCATGATAGCCAAAATACCTGTTTTCTTTGATCTGGCCTCCTTTTGCTTTAAATCATTTGCTACTTAAATTCTATTTTTTTTTTTTTTTTGCGGTACGCGGGCCTCTCACTGTTGTGGCCTCTCCCGTTGCGGAGCAACAGGCTCCGGACGCGCAGGCTCAGCGGCCATGGCTCATGGGCCCAGCCGCTCCGCGGCATGTGGGATCTTCCCGGACCGGGGCACGAACCCGCGTCCCCTGCATCGGCAAGCAGACTCTCAACCACTGCGCCACCAGGGAGGCCCGCTACTTAAATTCTGGCACTTAATTCTCCATCTAACCTGACCTGTGCCTACTCGGATTTTTTTTCTTTTTTTTTTTTTTGGCTGCGTTGTGTCTTCGTTGCTGCGCGCGGGCTTTCTCTAGTTGCGGTGCGCGGGCTTCTCATTGCAGTGGCTTCTCTTGTTGTGGAGCATGGGCTCAGTAGTTGTGGTGCACGGGCTTAGTTGCTCTGCGGCATGTGGGATCTTCCCGGACCAGGGGTCGAACCCGTGTCCCCTGAATTGACAGGCGGATTCTTAACCACTGCGCCACCAGGGAAGTCCCAACTTGGATTTTTTTTTTTAAATAAAAATTGTAGCTGCCTAAGAGCGAGCAAATTTTGCTTTACACATGCATTTCTGGAAGCAGAAGGGGTTGGGAGATCCCTCTGCCATTTAGGTGGTGGGGTGGCTCCTGTGAGCCTGGCATGGGGACAGGTGTTTTCCATGGAACCTGAGGTTCAGGAGGTGAGGGATGTGCCCAAGGTCATCCAGCTAGATACAGGCAGACTGGACTGGTACTTGGGTCTTCAGTTTCAAAGTTTGTGCTTCTTTGATTTATTTTCAAACGGAATATCCCTGATCGAGGGAGATAAAGATTTGACACACAGAGCAAAGCCCTGGAAGTGCTGGGGAGGAGGGAGTCCCAGCCACATGTGGGGCGGGCGTGTGAGCGTGTGGGAAGCACAGGTCTAGCCTCGTACAGTCAGGCAGGGGTGGGCCCTGCCCTCCTGGGTGGTGGCCGTCCAGTGTTCCAAAGAAAAGCTCCATGAGTTGATTTTTTTCAGGCTCTTCTTAGTCTTAGTCACTAAGCAATTTAAAAATGACTTTCACCAAGGTTAGCCTTTCTACAAGAAAATGTCACTTCACCTTGCACGGTCACAGGTAGGAACGGGCAGGCAGTAATTTTTCTCAGGTTGAATTTTCCACTGTCATCCTCCACGGCTGCACAGTCCCCATCGTGGGGGCCTGAGGCAGGCAGGACAGTGGCTAAGGGAAGTGCCTTTGGGTGGGCCCAAGAGCTCACAACAGCATTTCAGTGTGGGAAATGAGCAAACCTAGTAGGTAGGATTTCCTAGGGCAGGACTATAAAAGATTCTACAGGACTGCCGAAAGATTCCTCCTGGTTGTCGGCCAAGGAAGTAAAAATCAGAGCTGGTTTCATGAATCACATGAAAAGACAAGGGGGTCCAGAGTCCGTGTACACACGTACATCCACATCCACCCACCTGGACGAGCCCACTTCATGGCCCAGGAGCCAGCTGAGTGTCTCCGTCAAGCTCACCCTCACTTGCCACAAGGACCATTTCAAACCTTGTTCACCCCCTCCAGCTTCTACCCAGCACCTCTGTCCTCTGCTCACCTCTTTTCTCCGTGAAGATGGCCCTGACCTATTTTAGTGCCTATAGGGTTCTCGTTCTTTGTATTTATAAACAAAGTGACACACAGATAGATAAAAATAAGTCAACCTTTTCCAGAAACCCAATATGCCACATTTTTCTTTCCACACAGATCATTAATATTCATGCAAAAGTGATAACTGCAGTGACAGCAAATTCAAACTCTCCTGGGGTGTCAAACTCTGGCAAGGACATTAGCAAAGAGTTGCCTTTCTGCCTTACGGACTTATCATTATAAATTAGCTTTAATTGGTACTGACCCACTTTTTACGAGCTGAAGCAACAACAATCTAAATGAACTGACAATGTGTGATTACGACGGAAGACACACTGTTGTCTCTGGGGACCATCACCAAGTCTCAAAACTTCTTGACCTCCTAGCTCCTGGCTTCCGCTCATTCCTAGAATGTCACTCTCCCCTGTCTCCTCCTTAACTGTGGAACAGGTCCTGGTTCTCCAAGTCAGAAGTAATGCCTCCCTCACAGGACTAAACACTTTCTAATGTATTAGGAGGCTCTTGGTCATTACCTTTGGTAATGACCACAGTGCCCAGGGCAGTGCTTGCACTTAAGGAGCCAACAGACATGTGTTTGTTGAATGAATGAATGAGGGAATACACTTCACAGACTCTAGTGGTAGAAAGGGAGCCAAGATTACACAGTCTCTACTCTTGGCCTCCTATGGTCTTAAACAAAGAAAAGTAAATTAGATGATCTCAGTTGCCTGCTTAAAACCCTCCAATGGCTTCCCACAGCAAGGAGCAGATCCACACCCTGTCGTGACCTTACTCCATATCGTAGTTGCTTGGATCTTTACTATCTGGAGGACTTTTTTTTTTTTTAATAAGAAAACTTAACAACTACTTATGCAGTTGACCCTTGAACAACATGGGTTTGAACTTCATGGGTCCACTTATATGCAGACCTTTTTTCAATAGTAAATACTTAGTACCACACGATCCTTGGCTAGTTGAATCCATGGATATGAAGGAACTGTGGATGTGAAGGGCCAACTAAATTATACTCAGATTTTTGACTGCATGGAGGGTTAGCACCTCTAGCACCGTCCCTGTGCACACACACACCGGTTTTCAACAATTGTATTTGGTTTAGTGCCAAATTTTTACACCTATAAACCTATCTAACAAACATTTCTAAATATTCAGATGCTATTAAATAAATAAAAACATTATCTAAAAATAGACTGCACTTACACATTTAAGTGTTGGTTACAAACTTAGATTCTACACATCTCAACAAAACGATGCCAATTTACCATTTAAGTAGATAAGCTTAATATCTTACAAACAGACAAATCATACAAATGATCACAGTGACCACAAAACCTCCATTTAACCTATCACACAAGTTGGCCTTACAGATTTATTTCTTCATTATTTCCATCCTTAGGTTTGATCTTCTTGGGGTACAAGAATCTGGTGACTAAAAGAAACAGGAGCTGATGTTGGCCAGTGGAAGATGCGGGTTCCAAGTTATTGACCAACTGACCCTTGGCGAGGGTCATCAGGGCAACATGATGCAAGAGTGAGTCTGCATTTCCTGGGCTGGATGCCTAGGTCTTCTTTACTCAAGGTTTGCTCGTTCCACAACAGGATTTTTAAAGCCCCTGTCTTTCCTGCCACTTGACGTCTTCAGTATAATTCCCAGGCCTGCTGGAGAACTCACCTCCCAGGGGACCGGGGATTCCCTGCCGGCCACGCGGCTCCTTCCCCCATCTGGCAAGCCACTCCCACTCAGGACCTCTTCCCACTTGTTTGGGACCAGGGTGTTAGCTGGTCTTTCCTACTCTTGCCCCAGTTGCTACTTTTCCTGCAGCTATAAGGCTTACTCACAATTCCCTGCCAATCTGCTAACGGAGGTGGGGAAAAAGAACACCTATATTTTATAGACAGACATCTACTTCAACACAACCCCCACCTATGCCGACACTCCCAATTTTGCTGTAGCAAAATTTACAGAAATATAAATGCACACTATTATTTTCACTGTCCTTGTATTATAGCTACTTTTGGGCACACTTTATATTGATTTCCCCATGTTAAGTATCATTTTGGACTCAATGGTTTTCACCAATTAATTACCAATTAATCAATTACCACCGATTTCCACCGATTCAATTAATTATTATTAATGGTAATTAACAGTATGATTAATTAATCATCCTAACTTGGCCCGCAGAAAGCCCCTTTGGCCATGCCTCGCGGCATGTGGGATCCTAGTTGCCTGACCAGGGATCGAAGCCGTGCCCCCTGCAGTGGAAGCGTGGAGTTTTAACCACTGGATCGCCAGGGAAGTCCCTCCATTATCCTTTTTTAATGAAAAATTTCTTCTCTTTAATCAAAGCCATCATTGTACACAGTAAAAAAAAGATAGATCTATGAGGCTATAATGAAAAAGAGGAGCCCTCTCTCCGGCCCGTTCTCCCTCTCCACTTCCCCACGGCAACCAGTCACGAGTCTTTTATCTGGATTTACTCCCCATTGCTAAATAACATGCCTCTATTGCTATTTTCTGATGTTCAGTTTTGGGTATCTATTGACCTCCCTACACAAGATAAGAATTCTGATCTTTCAGGTATTTCCCCACCCTCCTTCCATCCTCCCCCTCCTCCTAGCAGAATTTCATGATAATATTTGATTTCATTGTTATTCAATGTCTGCATTCTTAGGACACCAGGCCATGTAGCAAACGAGGATCACATTTTTGTCGTCCTTGCAGTTAGTAAACGCCACCGCCATGGGCTATTTGGCTGTTGTCATCTTTCTCACCTGCATCCTCCTCCTCTCCTCAGCCAGCATCATCGTCATGAGGGCAGCTGACACTCACCTGGGGCTCACCACGTGCCAGGCACAGTTCTAAGCGCTGTGCATCTGTTAACTCATTTAAACCTCACAACGGCCCTATGAGGCTGGTACCTACTACGATATCTTCATTTTACATAAAACGGAGGCTCAGAGAGGCAGAGTGCCTCATCTGAGGTCACAAAGCTCTTCCATGGCAGAGTAAGGGTTCTAATCTGGCCGTCTGGCTCTAGAGCTTGCCTTCCTAACTGAACCACGGTCCTGCTAACTTGAATTCATCCCCAGCTCCGGAAGTGTAACTCTCTCAGTACGTTCAAACCCCTCAGGTGTTTGGCTTTATTCCCCGTTACTTCTCGCGGCCCCTCCTCCCCGACTCCTTCCTTGCCCTTTCTCCCGTTGCCATCCACCTCCCAGGCCTGCTGCACAGCTGTCACCCTGCATCCACTCCCCCTTCCTCACCACCACCAGGAACTCCCTTTGCCTCTCCCGATGGAGGGGGGGGGGAATCCCTTTTTCATAGATTCCATGTCTTTCTCTTTCTCTGTTTACTTCTTGCTTGGGTTACGGGAGGTAAAATGTCGACTCCCTGGCCTGTCTGAAAATGTTTCTTCTACCCTCACACTTGATGGTAGCCTCTGAAGTTCATGCCCGTCTTCTCTCGGGATTTTGAAGGCATTGCTCCAGCGTTTCCGACCTCCTTCGGGTGCTGCCACACCTGCTTCTCAGAATATGTCCCCCTCTCAGGAGACTCGGGAGCTTTCTTCCTTGTCCTCACATTCAGAGGTATCTGTCGCTCCAACTCTTTTTAAAAAAATATAGAACAGGGGCTTCCCTGGTGGCGCAGTGGTTGAGAGTCTGCCTGCCGATGCAGGGGACACGGGTTCGTGCCCCGGTCCGGGAAGATCCCACATGCCGCGGAGCGGCTGGGCCCGTGAGCCATGGCCGCTGAGCCTGCGCGTCCGGAGCCTGTGCTCCGCAGCGGGAGAGGCCACAGCAGTGAGAGGCCCACGTACCACAAAAAAAAAAAAAAAAAAAAAAAAAAGATGAAAAGAAAAAACGAGCCTCTTTCTCATCAATGCTTTCTTATTATGCCTCAATCCTTTTCTTCTTTCTCCTTGAGACTTCAAAGAATCCCTCCGTACTTCTCTCACCTCATTTTGGAGTCAACCCCACAGCTTGTTCCTAACTCTGAGTTTTGGTACCTAATTTCCCAGCTCTCCATCTTGGTGAGAGGAGAAAGAAAGTGCCCCCAAAGCACAAGAAAATAGTGTCTCCATTACTGTTCCCACGTCTTGGCTATCTTTCAGGGAAAAAATGAGCAATGAGGAACAACAAAGTCCCTGTAGTACTGAGAGGATCTCAGTGACATCACTATCCCCCCTCTCCTCCCTCCTCATCGGCTCCACTATTTTATTATCTTTGCAGGAGATCAAAATGGCTCCTTTCCCCTGAGCCTTCCAGTTGCTGCTCAAGATTCATGGAGACTTAACATAAAGGTTTCCTGTGGCAACAGGCAACTCTTAAGACCTACTTCCGATGCAGAAGTGTTTTCAAATTGCGACTCATAAGTGGGTCGTGAAATCATTTTTGCGGGGCACAATCAGCATTTAAAAAAATAAAAGGACAGAATGGAAAAGAAAGTATCAGAGTGTGAGATGTGTTTGTAACACTTGTTTCAGGTATGTGTCTCAGCGTAAAAATCATTTGGACCACAAGTCACAGGAAGAAAGCATAAAGCCATTTTTAACCACCAGCATCTCATTTACAGAACTTCTTTCTAAAAGCACCAACATTTCATCCAGAGGAAACAAATCAAACAATTTGAACCTACATTTAAATAGGGTATAGAACAGGCTGAAACAGAAGAGAAAGGTCGTTTTTGGTGCCTGCCAACAAGGCATCGTGTCGGCTAGCAGGAACCTACAATGTAACGGGGAGGCAGGCTGTCAGCAAGCAGACCTCAGGGGCACCAGGAGGGCACACACAGCGTCTCCCGGTGAAAGTGACAGGCACGTATGATGGAGAGGAAGTATGAAGACAGTTCTTCACTGATTCAGGTGTCCTTTTGGACCATGACACTTCACATTTTTTGGGAACATTCTCCAGGGAAGCCAATCTTTGTTTGTGGAGTGGGCAAATCTGCTTCTAAGAAATGGCCCAAGTCGTTCAGGGCCCTCCTGCTGAATTACAAAGTTCCTGCAGGGTGCCCTGGACTCTATTACCAACTGTCATCAGGTTGCTGAACAGAATAGGTTCTCAGAGTTTCGAATCTTGCAGCTGAGCTAAGGAGGGCTGGCCAGCAAGCAGGTGCCTGTGAGGGGCGAGTGGCTGGACCCAGAGAATCACACCTGCCCGGCGCTGGGAAGGAGCTGCAGGGGAGCCGGGAAGGGGGAGGACTGGGTGTGTCCAAGGCCGGCTGGCAGACTTGTCTTGCCCGTCACCCTCACGTGTCTCCTGGGAGATTGTCATCAGAGGGTGGGCTCCTCAGGCTGGGCTGTTCTAACTCCCAGCAGACCCCAGCACCCAGCATGGCTCAGCCAGTCTTTTTGGGATGAAGGGACTCCACGGCAGAGGCCCTGTGCACTGGAAGGATGGAATCACATGACATAATGCACACAGGTATCTGTATGTAACATACATATTTTGTGCTTCGTAATTACGCTTATTTAATACACACTACAATTTGTATATGATAAAATGAGAGGAACAATGATGACGCCATTAGGGACCACAGTCTGTGAGATGCACGCACACAACAGCGCCATCTCCCATTAAACCCGATTAGCACAACCACAGAAACCAGCCGGACCCTGGCCAGAGGCTGTGTGTGAGGCAGGTAATTCAGGGACTTGGGAGCAGGTGCCTGTATTAGGATTCTGGCTCTGCTGTTACCACCTGGTGCCCTTAGACCTGTTATTCCACCTCTTTACACCTCCATTTCCTCATCTGTAAAATGGAAAAATATTAGAGCTAACTTCATGGGGCTGTTGAGAAGACTGTATGATTTAATATGTATAAAGTGCTTAGATTAATTTCTGGCACATAGTTCTGTACTACATCAACTCTGGATGGTATTATTATTTTAATCAGTAATTTAAAATTGTCTAGACTTGAAAGAGATGGCCAGGTATGGACAAAGCCAGCGAGAAATCATCTGGTCAGAGTCATCTGTCTAAAACGCATGGACAAAAATGCCTAAGATGTAGTTTGCATTTCTAATACGATGGATGAGGGTACTGATTTCTAATGCTGTCCGAAATAAACAGACTGCCCATTCAGGCTTAAAAGCCTGAACTTATTCTTCATTAATTCACCCATAATACTGGAGACCTGGGGGTGAAAGAGACAAGCAGTCTCTCTGTCTTCAAGGTGTGCAGTGTGACAAGGGCCCCCCAACAGCTCATCACACCGTGGGTTCCTCCAGTGGGGAAGTGCCCTGCTCTCAATAATGTGAATTCTGGAAGCGATGGGAGCAGAGGACTGTCTCTTGAAACAAGTGCAGCCTTCGCTGCGATACAGAGGCGCTTGCCAGGGCTGGGTATTGGAATGGTGTTTTCCTTTCTAACTATAAATTTAATGTGCTATATGGACAGACAGGATGGACATTTTTATGCCAAGAGGAAGCTCAAAGGGGAGGGCTGGGAAGAGGAGGAGGATGGATATCCAGAAAAATGATGCAATAATCAAGGTAAGAAGTAACTAGGGTCCGCCAGCAAAAACCGCTTTCTAGGGAAACAGAGTCATCGTCTCTTTCCACACCCAGCTGAGGACCTGAAAATGTGCCACCACAGAAAATATGTCTCTTCTCTGGGGAATAATGTCATGAGAGTCACTGTAAGTTCACAGAAATCTCGACGATCTCCCATAAAAGCTTTGTTTCACACTTCATCCCATGTGGAAACTTTAGCCAGGGCCACATGAAAAACGAGTTTTATGAGAGTACTTCTGATTTGTAAGAAGGCTATTTGGCTTCTGAACAGGGCAGCTTCCTGAAAGCCCCGGGAATGGCATTCTTACATATTGCACATAGCAGGCGGCCTTCATAACGATCAGGGCCGCGTTTAGATCTGGTGAAACGTTACGTGAGTGACAAACCTCGACCAAAGCAATTGGGAGAAACTGCAGGGCCAAGAATTTCTTGGTCACAGAGATTGTCTCAAGCATGATATAAAAATGAGTCTGACTTTTTTTTTTTTTTTTTTTTTTCGGTACGCGGGCCTCTCACTGTTGTGGCCGCTCCCGTTGCGGAGCACAGGCTCCGGACGCGCAGGCTCAGCGGCCTATGACTCACGGGCCTAGCCGCTCTGCGGCATGTGGGATCTTCCCGGACCGGGGCACGAACCGGTGTTCGCTGAATCGGCAGGCGGACTCTCAACCACTGCGGCACCAGGGAAGCCCCATGAGTCTGACTTTCTGCATCCAGGCACGAGGGTAATGGCTCGAGTGAGATGGGGAGAACGTGGCTTTCTGCTCGTGGTCCTTTTCATTCCCTACAAGATTGTTACCAAGCTTCTCCCGGGCCCTGGTGTTGCGACAGGCCTTGAAGTCCAAGGTCTTAGTGTGACCATCCAGTGACCTTGACAATGCTTTCGCCTGTATTTCTATTTCTTTGGCAATATCTCACGTGGCCACGAGCGCACGCTTTGGGGCCCCGACAGCCTGGATTCCAATGCCGCCTCCTTCGCTGAATCGCTCAGTAACCTCGGGCAACTCAACTTTCTCTTTGCCAAAGAACCCACGGCAGAGAATTCAGTGAGTCAATATCTGTGTAAGTGCTTAAACCAGTACCTGCCACATAGCACTCTCTGCTGTTAGTTAGTATTTTCATTGGCCGAGCAGACACACATGATTTCACAAATTAAAGAGCCAACCAGGATGATGGATGTTGCTCAGTGGCTTTTTTTAAATCCAGGGTCAGTGTCAGAACCCCAGGAGCAGCAGAGGTCCATAAAGTTGCCCGATTTCCCGTGGCCATGGCTGGTTCCTGCCCCTGTGGTCCTCAGGCTCGGCTACGATGTTCCACGTGGGGCTGGTTCCCGTTCTCACGCCTCTCCCTCCTGGCTTGCTCTGGCCTGTGTTTTGGCCACCTGGCCACTGCCTCCAGATTTACCTGCCCCACGTGCTGTTCTTGGTCAGCCTCCCTGGATTTTCTCACCTTGGACAAGAATGTGGGGTGGCTTGCTGTGGCCTGGCAGCCGGCTCCCTCAGTTACCCTGCCCCAGCCCATCCTGGCAGATGTTCTGTGACAAAGACATCCTCGGAAGACTGGCTTCCTTTCAGTTGGTCAGAGTTGACTTCAGAAGTGGCTTTGAGCTTTCCCTGTTGCTGTGACTTTCATACGCATCAGCTCTGGCCACGAGAGGCTGCCTAGTGATAGGAGCATGGTTCCTGGACTCAGATGCCAAAATTCAAATCCTGTTTGTGAGATCCTAGGGAACATACCCATCTCCTTCGAGTCCCGGTTACCCCACCTGAACAATGAGACCTGCAACAGGATCTACCTGACAGCCGTGGTGCAAACTGAGCCGGAACACGGAAAAGGCTTTTTACGGCGCCCAGCAGAGAACAAGCTCATCACACACCTGCTCACATGATAGCACGTCTTCTTCCCTCCTTGTCCAAAATAGAGGTGGTGGGCTCCTTCCTCTCCTCCATCCTTGCCCCTCTTCAGGCCACTTCAGGGTTCCCTGGACACAGGCATTGTTAGGTGGAAATCCTACATGTGCCAGCTGCTTCCTCTCACTGTGTTTACAGTAAGTATGTCATGCCTAACAGAACGATGCCATATAAATGCCACACGGCGATAAACAAGATGTTTTCCCACGGCTTAGTAACAAGACTAAGGGTTTATCATTAGATATCTATTGAAGGCTGAAAACAGGAACAGTCCTGGCCTAATAAACCACACCTCTTGGTCCCCAGATGGGCTGCAACAGAAATAACAACAGACCCACCCACTCAGCCCAAACGCTCCCATGGAGATGTGACGGATGGTCTATTTATAGATCGGACTCCAAAATCATCAGGTGCGTGAATTCTGTTCTGCCGGCACTGCCTGCGGCCAGTCTGGATGGGAATTTTTATTATAATGGATGAGGACGGACCAGAGATTTCTGAGACGTTAGACAGCTGTGTCTTGAAGGTACCAACCCGGAGACGCAAACATTGTGGCATCGACCTCCTTCTTCCCCTCCCCGCTTCCTCCCCCGTGTTTCCAAGACAGATTATCAAACTTCAGCAGGGGCTTCTATGTGGGTCGCCTCCTTGTGTGGTAATTCCACGGAGGGGATGGGTGCTGAGGGGCTGCTTCTGGCCTGTTTTCCAGAATGATCCGGGACAGGGCAGGCCAGGAAGACACCCCACCCAGCATTTCCAACATGTGGGAGGAAGAAGGCCTTGTCCATAAAGAACAAAAAATAGAAACCCAGTGACATAAGATGCCATCTCACTGTCCTTTTGCCATTTCCTTCATGTTTATAGTTAGGAAATGGTATTTCTATACCAAGATCTGACACTCTATGCAAAGTGAAGGAAGAATTTATTTTGAATTTCTGCATCTCATATTCCTAGGCCTTCCATGAGCTGGTCCCAGCTCTCCAGCCTCATTTAAAAGGCCCCCCTGTTAGCTCTTCTGCTCTGACTTCACACCTCCCTCAGCTGCTGCCCTTCTACCTTTGCTCTGGTTTCTACCTGCCCCTTTCATGTACGTCTTCCAGGTCTGTTTTAAGTTCCAAGAGAGCCTGGACTCAGTTTTGTGCTTCTCTCGTACACCTACAAGTCCTGAGCGCACCGTCTGTACTTACCTCCCGACTGATTTTTAAAACACCCAAGCTTGACCTTTATAAGTTGTCACTACTGGGTCATAAAGTGATAATGTTTCAAGGCTGGAAAGGACCTCGGGTCTTTTGTGCCAAACTCCCCTGTTACAGGGGACAACACTGAGGCCTGGGGAGGTGACCTGTCCCTGGTCACATACTCAGCAAAGGTACAGGCAGGGGCAGATGTCTGATACCCAGGTCCTGGATACCTCCTCCTCAAGCTGATGTCCTGTCAGTGGATTCCCCGGGTCAAATAAATGGGAAACCCAGCATTTGCAAGCCAGAGGACAGAGACCTCCCTCATTTCACAGAGACTGCGCATTACACTGTCTAAAACTTGTTCGCCCAGTGGACACCCAGGGGTTCTCCCAGTGGACACCCACAGTCCTCCAAGGTTGTGTTTACCCACACCAGCTGCCTGTTTACTTTTCAGAATGTGAGGCTGAAAGAGTAAGTTCTGGAAACCCATGGCTATCTTTTTCTGGAAACTACAGGTAGCTAGCGATGCTTCCTAGGTAGTTTTGACTGAGTCCACGTAGCCCCCAGCCACGATCTGTATACACAGATGCAGCTTCATGAGTATTTAAGGAGTAGGAGGTCAAAACACTTCTCTCCAACTGTCACTCTAATGTCAAGGTAGAAGTTTGGTCCTGAAGGGAAGATGAAGGTGAGAATTTTCAATTCGAAGTTCTCACGCCACTGGACAACTTTACTGCCCCAACTTCCTCCCTCCATTATGGTCTGGAGTTTGATTAGTGGCCAGCACTAAATCTAGATGGTCCATTTTTCAAATCCATCTTGGTGCACAGGCATAAAGGTGGACCTTGGAGAGGCAGTCAGTCCCGCGTGCCAAGGGGGTGACGTTTGTAAATGCGATTATTACAACCCTTAGTCAACCTCCTATTTTTTGGCTCAGGTCTACTAACTACTTCTTCATTCGCATTGGTTTTGCTCTGTAAGGAGAATGTTACTTTTTAATCCAAAGGCAAACCAACCACGCTTTGCAAGTCCCATAAGCCATATGTCATCTACAGATTTCCTAATGGGAAAATCCATGTGTCACAGACTATAAAGGAAGCATTTTCCAGTGGCCTAAATGAGGATTAATGAACTGATATTCAGCGAACCTTTGAGGAGACACAAGAAAACCTCTGGAATGGGCAACGTCATCAGAGTCCAAGCAACCTGCACAGTCTGTATTTATAAATGGCCCTTTCAGACGACTTCAGAGACATAATTTTTAAGTTTTGGCATCCAAGAGAAATGCATGGCTATCTTTTTCTAAAAGGTGAAAGTGGGGAATTCCCCAGCAGTCCAGTGGTTAGCACTCCCCACTTCCACTGCTGGGGGCCTGGGTTCGATCCCCGGTCGAGGAACTAAGATCCTGCAAACCTTGTGGCGGCTCCCATCCCCGCAATAAATAAAATAGAATAAAAGGTGAAAGTTTAGAAAGCCAAGCCAAACGTAAATGATATGATGGTGCCAATCTTTTGGGGGTGGGTTCCAGAAAGAGAAGCGTGTGAAGCTGTGGTTCTGCCTCCGACGATCAAACAGGAACTCGTCAGGCATGTGCTCTGTTCAGCGGGATGCACTTCAGAAAATGCAGCCAAAACACACCTAGGGCCCGAAAGCGAATTGCTGTCATGTCCCTGCACTGGTGAGGCTTTCTAGCCAGAGTGCCCGTAGTCTCTGGAAGTCATTCTGCATTCTCACATAAATGCTCTCCTCCCCGCAAACTCTGTTCGCGGTAGAAAAAGGCCTTTCAATAATGAACAGCCGTCTGTTCCACAGAGCACAGGAAAAACACGACAAACCGAGTCACACGGCCTTGGCTGTAAATATATTCTTACGCGAGATTTCTACAGCTCCATGTGAAGGAAGAGAGCATAAGCTCTTAACCATTGCAGAACTACGACAACAACGATAAAAAATGCACTGGGTTTCCTGCAATTAAGCTGCAATGTTTTACAGTGCAATTTTATTTATACCTGAAAGAGAGTAAATAAATAAATATATAAAAGGTGGAACAGACCCCGCCCGCCCAAGGCTTAATCTGCAAATTAACTTTGCAGTAATAAAACCCCTGCCAGCTGGACTCTTTCCCCTGGTCCTCTGTGGCACAGGCAGTCAAAGCAGGTATATGGCTGAGAAAAAAACAAAGTAGGGCATTTTCCACCCTCAGCCAGGGATGTTAATTGAACTTTGGCGCACGTTTAAAGATTTCTCTCTTCATGTCCAAGAAAGGATTAAAAACAGTTGAGCTGGGGGAAAATGGACATCTGTTCCTGACTTACACTCAGAACCACAATGGAAAACATTCATAATTAAAGCGATTTTGTGTCCCTGCTAGTTAGAACTGTAGTCT